CGCATGCAAAGCAAAGAATAGTAACTTGTTCTTTATTCGTCACTGTAAGAGCGAGGATGATTCATGATGGTTCATGCTGTCTAATAGTGCAGTGGTAAATAGGTGCAGAGATATTTAGTTTCAAATGAGGCTTTCTGGAGTGTGCCGGGGGGTGGGGTAGTATGCTATTTCACACAAGCTGTGCACTGATCGCCCCTCCCACTGATCATCCAAGAGCAACAATTTTTCGTTGCCAGTTGTAGTCCTTATATGCCTTGCCAATAACGTTGAGAATTGTATGAACGCGAAGAATGTGCTAATCATTACTGCAGTTACTGGTTCATGAATCATATGTAACGACGTGTTGAATCATGCACACATGAAAGTCAGCCGAATGTAGATCAGAGTAACAAATGCATGCAGCGTCATCGATTCGAGTGAGCTTCTTGGTTCAGCTGTGCAGTGATTTCACTAAAGTCACCCACCGTCTCAGTTGTTCGGTTCGCATGTGATTGACCGATTTAAGAGTCCATTTTTTTGAGATGATTTTCCCTCACACTACTTAGGAACCGACGTTCTCTCAGCACAGTTTTACAAATTATCTCGAATTTTAATCCGCGTTATGGACAGGCTGTTAACGCCAATGGTCCTACGAGTATGCGTGGAATTGCCGCGTTACTTCATGACCTTTGTAGAAGTGTCAGGGTCACTTAATCAGGCTAACTCTCCTTGTTACTGTAGCACCTATGGTGCATCGATGAATCTCACAATTGCTGTTAACCGGGATTCCTGGCTCACTTCCAGTTGTTCAGTTTCGAACCTGATTGCCATTGCGCATTATGCCACGCAGCCAGCAATTTCTTATTCCTTTCCAGTGACATAATCACATTAGTCTACTGGTTATGTTGCGCCAACAAGTAGCTGATGATTTCGTAGTGTTTTTGGTTGTATATATGTACTCTGTCCTGTTGAGACAGACGAAATGTTAGAACGCATCAAGAAGGACACATTGTTCCAAGGTGAGTAAGCACCTACTCATTAATTAAGTTACGATTCTGTTTTACAACGTTTCTATAGGGTCTTATTTGACATGTTATTAATTATATTTTTCTGTTTCGTTTATTTATTTATTCTTTGATAACCATTGAAAGTAGAAGTAATTAACTTCGCACCAGTAAAGCTCGTCCTAACGACTGCGCCAGGTTCCTTCCCAGCAGGTGGTTCGTCAATTTGCGACGCATCGTAATGGAACTTCAGCTGGATTTTCAGGGGTCGCACACTGCTTGATGCAATCTTAATTGTTTGAATAGAAATTTCTTGTAAATCTCCATTTAATCCCAGCGAATTTTCTTTTAACGAGGCACTTCTTACTGTTATAGTATTTCCGGAGCTTAAGTTATCAGAACACCAACACCATAACAGAAACTTGAATGGCGTATAATTGGAGCAAAACCACGTGGCAGACCGGGGACAGAATGATCAGCCTTTGAAACCACCACACGCGGTGTGGTCGGTTGATGAAGGACTGAAGGGTTTATGCAACCCTCCAATGCTGTTGCTGCCGAAAAATTAACCGACATTGAAAACGGTTGGATAGCTGAAGTAGACCATCGGCTTGTTTCCTTATTTGCTTCATTGACCATTCAGTATTCACTGGCTCAGTTATATTAAAATGTATAAGAAACACAAGGTTGAATACAGCATACGGCAATGTTGTGGGGCACAGTTTTCTGATTCCTTGGGAGATATTACGCTTCAATTACTGACATCAGATTTACATGGTAAATATTACACGTTTATTAATACATATTATGTTATGCAGGGCTTTCTATTTTATGTTCTCTCATTTCTTACAGAAAGTATTTGCCAGCGCAGAGGCTGTGTATAGTCAAGTAATCGCGACCTGCTACAAATCTGTCATATCCATGATGTTTCGCACTGTTCTGCATGTATCCAGAAAAACAGCTTTCTGACAATTTTTCGGTAACCTTCCAGTGAGCTTCACGTGGTTCAAACGTCTCCTCATTGATATGGTGATGAGATCATTTGCGGAGATATAGTTTTTAATCAATATGCATGCTTCAGATAATGGTCAGTTGTTCATATTTTTCCACTTATGATTTTTTTACGTTTTTTTTTTGAACGTCCAAAGGAACAGCAACTATTTTACCTGTTCTATACTGTGCTCCAGAACTAATATGTCTGAACGATTGT